TGGGTGCTGTGGGAAAATGGAAGGAACACTGTTCTGTTAAAATCAGTAGTGAAATCAGGAGCAAACTATGTCCTGATTATCATAGGCATGTGTTTAAATTTTGCCTTCCTTAATTGGTGATGTTGTATTTACTTAAAATGAACAATTTGGCAAGTTTTTCTCCCTTGACAACAGAAAAGCGTAAACTGTTTTATAAGTTCGCCTGTAAAAATCAGATTTGTAAACCACAATATTCAAAGACTTTTACTGCTGTTTACAGGGACCCCATGATGGACTTTGCTTTATAACCATGTGCTTTTTACATTTTGAGTTCGTGTTTATAGCGCTTTCAAGTTATTTGCTTAATAAAAAGTATGCCATATATTATAGTCATCTATTGACTTTAACTTCTGCATTACTCTTCTTAGAACAAAATGAGTGGAATGAATGATGGTAAAAGTCTTGTAATTTGACTTGTCATTCAAGGATAATTATTTATGGCATCAGGAAATAGAAGTGGACACCCTAGTCTGTCTCCAGGAAAGTCATCATTAGAGGCCACTTTGGAGAGTTGGCCCGTGTTAAAACCAGTGTGATCACACCCAAGACCCTGCTACTTTCTCAGTGTTTGTTAGAAGGAAATAAGACAAAGCATTTAAAAATATTTTTTCATGTTCTTTGGAAAACCAATGTACCTTACATGTATGTCTCACATGTAGAGCCAGATGGTGGTATTGAAAACAGTATATATGTTTTATATTTTATATATAAAATATTTTGCATATATTTTATAAGTGTTTTATATATTTTATATATAATATTATAAAGGTAAATATATAAAACATACAAACATAATATATAAATATATATTTATACAATTATGTAAATATTTCCATTAAATATTTCTATATATTTAAATATATATTTATTCATATCACCAGAGTACCTAACGGATTCTGAAAGATATAACTCACTATAGAATTATTTTCACAATCTTGCATCTATACTGTTTGTATTTTCTAATCACATCATTTTAACTAGCTCTAAAAAGGCAAGAAAAATGCATCCTTTGATTCTGTATTTCTTGGCATTCTGTCATGGAAAGTGACAAGATTTTGAGGTGAGACTAGAAATAGAAAATATTACCTTTGGTAACCTGTGAAAATTTAGATTGATTAGGCCATATTATTTCAAAAGCAGACTTGAGACCAAAATTACCCTGAGGAAGATTTTTTTTCTGCAGGATGTTAAGTGTTTGTTTCTTCAGCCTCCAATCCCAGAACCCAGACCATGGGGCTTTGATAGAGCGATCCTGTGAAGCAGATCATATACAACTAGTGGTCACTGCAGTGACTGGACCCAGATAAAAATTGATAGGATATAATAGTATATCCATAGTATATGTGTAGTATATTAAGATGCTCAGAATGACTCTTTCAATCATACAATTTTGAATCGGTTAATGCCTGATAGTCATGGTCCTATAAAAGCATTTGTTGCTTGCACGGGTTCTCAGGGCACTTGCTGTTTTCCCCAAATGATCTGAGGTCAATTCCTCATCTAAGATCCCTAAGTCATGTACTTCACACCCTGCCGTATTATAATTACATAAGCCATATGCATTTTTATCCGAAATAGTTAAATCCAGCACTGCCATGTATATACTAGGTAGTCAATTTGTGTTTGTTTATTTTTTCATCATCTAGTATCACTGTCCAGAAATATAATGTGAGCCACATGTGCAATTTAAAATCTTCTCGTAGTCACGTTTTAAGAAGCAACAGGAAATATGTTCTAGTAATATATTAATTTTAATAATATATTTATTTACCAACAATATCTAAAACATTATTTCAACCTCTGGCACAGCCTGCATTTCAAGTGCCCATCAACTCCAAGTGACTAGTGGCAACCATGTTGGACAGCACAGGTCTAAAGCAGTGCTTCTTAATTTTAAGTTCAGATACACATGGAAATAATATTTGTATAGCCCACTGGAGTGAATGGGTAGGATGGCTCATAGCCAACAGCAGCTGCCCCTGGGGCTCAGGCTGCATTGTTCCTACTCAATTACCCTGAGTGCTGAGGGAATCTGTAACTATAACCCTATAACACTGGTATGCCAGTTGGCAATCTCTGGTCTACAGCAGTGGTTCCCAGCCTCTTCAAGTGATAGACCCATTGAGCCTCCTCCTATGATAGTAGTTGTACTTTTATAACCAATTCCTTTACTATATAGATAGCAGTTAGATACTAGGTAGATGATAGATTAGATATATATGTTTTCTCTCTATATATATAATATATATACATAATATAAATGTAACATGTAAATATATATACTATTTATATATGCTATTTACTATTTACTATATATTATATATACTTTATACTGTCTATACTATATATATTATAGCAGATAGATACCAGATAAATGATAGATCAGATATGTATGTTTTATATATAAAATATAATATAAATATATATACAGTATTTACTATATACACCCACTATATATATATATATAATTTGTAAAGAGATATATTATTAAAAGAATACTTTTTTCCTTTTTTTTTTTTGCTTTCACAGTTTCTTTACATTTTCTCAGTGTGTGAGTAGACCTTCCATCACCACCAAATGAAAACTTAAACAGATCCTGTAACTTTTCAGTTTAAGGAAGTGATCCTCAACAGGGAGCAATTTCCCCTCCACCCCCGCCAAGGAGACATTTGGCAATGTCTAGCGACATTTTTGATTGTCATAATGAGGAGGGGGTCCTCCTGGCCTATTGTGAATAGAAGCCTGAAAGGTTTCTCAACATCGTACTCGTTCTGCACAGGACAGCCCCCTATTACAATAAAGAATTGTCTGGCTTACAATGTCAATAGTGCCAGGATTTAGAACCCTGCTTTAAGGTAATAGAAAATATTATGGTCCAGGTAACTGGCAAGTATTATCTCAATTCACTATTTAATAGTACCTAATCCCATGTGATAAACAAGACTCTGAACTTAATTTAAAACTAAAATTCCAGGGGTGCCCGTTGGCTCAGTCGGTTAAGCGTCTGCCTTCAGCTCAGGTCATGGTCCCAGGGTCCTGGGATGGAACACTACATCAGGCTCCCTGCTCAGGGGGAAGCCTGCTTCTTCCTCTCCTCCTCACTCATGATCTCTCTTGCTGTCTCTGTCTCTCTCTCTCTCAAACAAATAAATTAATTAAATTAAATTAAAACTCTACTCTTCAGCTAGCTGAGAGGAAGGCAAGATGTTTTCCTCTTTCTGTCCTTAGCTTTACACTTTACCCCAAATCCCCATCTTGCTAACATGTTCGCAACTACTTTGTGGTCAAAGCTAGGGGCAGGAGGATGCAAAATGTTCTTATTTGACCACCGTAAGGAGGTTTCTCACACTCTGGGCCAGGTAGACTTTTATAGCAGACATTTTCCTGGAGGCACTTTCGTGGGTTCTTTGGAGACCCCGTAAGGAACATTTGACTTCAAGTCCTTTAATTCAGGCAATTTATTTTCTTCCATTTGCACGTCTCTCCTGTCTCTCTTTTTTTTTCTTCTGAGATCCTCAGAAGGGGCTAGGATGGTTCATGTTTAGCTCTCATACAACAATAACTTAGCAAATGTTTTATACCCCCTAGCTACTGAGCTCTTGATATTTTTTTTTCACTTTCCATTCTTTCACCAATACTCCAATAAATAAGAATACCAGATAAAATTCTTATGAGACTGTTCCCATATCCAACCTTGACTTTGGACAAGTTACTTAACCTCTTTGTCTCAGCTTCTTCATCTCTAAAATGGGTAGAACTATTTTACATACCTCAAAAGATCATTGTGAGAGTTGATCCAACAAATATTGAGTGAACTTTTACACTGCATGCTAAACAATGTTTGAGGTATTGGGGAGACGTTAGTGAACAACGTTCATACAAGTTTACAAAAATCCCTGCCCACAGGGAGCTTACATTGCAGTAGAATTAAGTTAATTCACGTTAGATGCTTAGGAAAGTATCAAGAATGTAGTAAGGTCTCAATATATTTTACATACATTATTGTTAACCCAGTTGAATGATTGGTTTATTCTAAAATATGATTTGAGAGGAAAAGAGTCTCTACATACTTAAGAAAGTGCCCCCAATCCTCCCATTATGTCAACAACTGGGTTAAGAAAAGGGAGGGCCCTGTCGAGATCTATTTATCTTATAGAGACAATGAATTCTTACCAGTCACTAATAATAAGATACCTTGAATGTATTTAGACTCAATACTTAATGAAGGTCCAGACCTTAAGTGTTATGTTCATCATGGAATTCACAGCCTTTAGCGTGGAGCCTGATGATCAGTAAACATTCAGCTAATATTTGTTCAGGAATGAATTTGACACACACCTAAGTTTGAAGATAGAGCTTAGGATAGGAAGCTGAGGATAGGGGACCAGTGAAGATATGGAAAAAGTCTGAGGCAAATTTGTTTCAGAATTTTACCTAGAACTGGTGGTAATTTCACATCAATAAGAACATAAGAAGTATCTGCTTCAGAAAAAGAAATCACTTTGAGTTAACATAAAAAAGAAGATTGGCAAAATTATTTGGGCCAGCAGGATGTTTGAAAACGCCTGAATTACCTACAGGCAGTATAGAATCATAATTAGTTGAAATGAACAATTCTAAGAGTTTTTTCCTTTAATTTAGATGAATTTTTCTTTGACCTTAATTCTGTGTATGGATACAGATAGGTGTAATATGCAGATAAAGGTTATCAGGTTAAATCTGAGCAAATGAAAGTGAAAATAAATTGTGAGTATATAAAACTAACCACATTCTCATTGCACATTCATGTGGCAACAGAGGTAATATTTTCATACAGGAAAATTTTTACTCATACTCTGTCTAAACAGACAGGCTTGAGCTATTAATTCTGGTATTTCCATAACTACTGCTTTCTATTCGTATTTGAATAAAGTAATAATCATAAAGGAGAAACTTACCAAAATCTTTTTTTTAATCTCCAGTGTTCAGACTGCATCATAGTGCTTCCGATACAAGTGACAAAAACCGAGTTAAAAGCAGATTAAAGAAGTTTATCACCCGAAGACCTTCCCTGAAAACTCTGCAAGAAAAGGGACTTATTAAAGGTATAGGATGTTTTATACTTTTACTGTAACAGTGATAAATGAATATGCCTCTTTGTCCATAGCTATTCACCTCTATAGAAATATTAGGATATTTTATTCTTTTTAGGTTGCTTGTTGAATGTTCTGCTCTACAACAAAGGAAAAAAACAAAACAAAACAAAACTGTTGTCCAGAAAACTAATCCTGAGAAAATAAAGGTTGCAGCACAGTATCATTGAAAACAATACCTAGTTTTGCCCTCAGTGGAGCTGGGCTCTGCCCCAGGGAGCAGAGGAAGGTATCCTAGTGGCCTATTAGAATGAACCCATGTCACCATGTGCCTGGACAATACAGGTGCACACCTAGCGTGTGCACAAACTAGTGTCATGAAAATTTATGGATTTGGGAGCTGGGGAACTAAAAGCTCAATCTAAATTGAAATAAGTAGGTACTTTTGTAAATGTATCTAAAGTAAAGAACAAAATATTCTAGACTACCCTAGCCACCACAGTAGAAAAATATAGACTCTGGCACTAAGACTAATCAGAATTCAGACCTTGGTTCTACCACTCACTCATGTTGACATTGAACAAGTTATGACCTCTCTGAAGATCAGATATCTCATCTGTTAAATGGGGATACTTACACCCACTACTGAGAGGGCCATTGAGAGAAACATGAGATAATCCATGTAAAGCATTTAATAGAGTTTCTGGAACATAAGTATTCAATAAATGTTCTCTGCTCTTAATGCTATTATTATTCACTACCGTTATTTCTCTTACGGCGCCAAGGGGATGAGAAAGAATGAATGGATACATAGAACCCATGATAAAGTAGATTTCTATAACTGGAAATCACTTATAAATTACACAGGTAAAATGCATTATTTTCCTAACAAGAAACCATTTGCATCAAGTCCATTGTTTTCCTTTTTTTTTTTTTAATTTTCTAACGGATGGATATATCTTGAAAATTAAATATAAGAAGAAATTTGAAAAAGGGCTAAGATACCCTTCTAAGATAAATTCTGAGAACAAAACTAAAAGACTGATCCTTATGGGAGTCAAAAGTTTATTTAATACCCAGTCATTTCTCAGGAACAGGGCAAAACGGATCTTAATATTTTCAGCAATACTTAGCAAAAGAGTTATTTAGATGGGCTATAATAACTGTCTGACCTACCCATTTCAGTCCATTTTCAAGCAGGAGAACTTATCACAAGAATCATCTGGCATTTTGAACCAATTGTGGAAGGTGAAATTTTATGAAGCATGAACATACATATCACTAATGGTGGAAAATTCTTAGAATGTAAACATTTGGGGGTCGAACTAGCACTTGCTTTGAATCAGGCTTTCCTCGGACTTTTACACTGAAGATGTCCTTTCCAGGACCACTGACAGTACTGGATCCTCTAGAGATTCAACTTCATATATAAGATACCAGTACCTTCAGTTCTGTCTGAGAATGCACCCCATCGGTTATCATTTTCTTTGAGAAGATTCTGTTGCAGGTTATTTGCCACTTTGGAAAAAATAGAAAACCAAATTAGTAGCCCAAAAAATCCCAATTTGACATAAAGTCCAAATTTTTCATGACTATGGCAAAATGAAAAGGGTTTTAATTCAGTGGCAGGGTCTGGCCCCAATCAAAATTTGCTAAAGAATTCGCAACTACAGTGCTCCAGCAGTGGTCTCAGAAAGCAGTGGAGGGCCTGGATGCCTCATGCAGTTTTCACACTGACGTCATGGAACCACTGAACACACTCCGATGTGTACATTTCCTATCTTAGAGCTCCATTAAATTTCCACCATAGCTGACCAATGAGTCAGTATTCATTAGTAGGGCTATGGAAAATCTATGTGAAATTCTGATTTGATAAGCTTCCATTGTTGTCTTCAGTGGAATTTTCTTCCAAATACAGATCAAGTTATGCAAATATAATCACTTCTTGGGCTCCTTTCAGTTTTAACTGTGAATTTTTAAAAAGCGTTTACTGATTTTTTTTTTCTCTTCACTGAGTAAAAAGCATTAAAACAATTTTTAAAAATACAAGCCCAGTCAAATTTAGAACTTTAAGTCTATTTTCTCAGCATACCTAAGTCAAAGACTTGAAAAAAAGCAATGAAATCGGTGTTTTTGATCAGTTATGAAAATTATGTAAAATCAGTGAATGATTAATGGTTAAATGGTTTCTCCAAGTAAAATGACTTAACTCTTTCAAGAAGAATTACTCAGAAAGAGAGAGAACAGTCTTTAAAATTGTCCTCAGGATACCTGTCCACAAGAATATATACCAAATTCTTTCAGCTGTCTTATCTGCTAGATCCGGAATAAAGTCCTTCACAACAAGGTTTCGGAAAGCTGGGGTGACGGTGTCTTAAAAGTGTGCTTCCTGTACCTCTGAAACAAATAATACATTATATGTTTTTTTTAAAAAAAAGAAAATAGTAGGAAGGGAAAAATGAAGGGGGGGAAATCGGAGGGGGAGACGAACCATGAGAGACAATGGACTCCAGGAAACAAACTGAGGGTTCTAGAAGGGAAGGGGGTGGGGGAATGGGTTAGCCTGGTGATGGGTATTAAAGAGGGCATGTATTGAATGGAGCACTGGGTGTTAGACGCAAACAATGAATCATGGAACACTACATCAAAAAAATAAATTAATTAAAAAAAAAAGTGTGCTTCCTGACACCTGGGAGGGACTCTGCAGGGCCATAGCCCCCTTTCAAAGAGTTTCTTACTCCTTTATGTAATGTTGCCAACAGGTTGAGAGGTCTGAGCTTTGAATTCAGCCAGCCTTAGGAGCAGGAAGAGCTGTGCCTTCTTGACTTTATAATGCCCAGCAGAACAATATCCACAAAGTACTTTATGCAGAAAGAAAATTGTCCCAATACCACACTGTCTGGACAAAACAAACCCTTCCTTCAATATCTATTTTTTGGACTCATGGAGACCTGGCCAATATGTGATTTCATTGGCTGGAAGCTAGATCTGGAAACAGTCCCTTGATGGAGCTGCATCTTCTACTTTCTTTAATATGACTAATGAGAAGGGTACATTATAATGTCAAAAAAGGCCCAGCCGATAGTTATGGATGATCACTCAATGGAAAGAAATCTTAATAGCTCAGGTGGGTGTAGGGTTCATTGCACCATGGCGTTGGTGGCTTCCGAAAAGGCTGCAATTTCTCCAGGTGCTTTCACATTTGCCAAGGGAGTGGCAAGTGCCTTTTAAATGTGAGTTTATTGCATTGAGCGTCTCATCAGAAATAAAACTCGAATCTGTTGAATATGTAAATGATAGGCAAGAGGGTATATTTTAGGGTGGTAGGTGTGTTTGTACATATTTTCTGCTTGGTTTTGGAACTGAAGTAACAGCTCTTTATAAAGTGTCAGCCAAACTACCTTATATAATCCTTCAAATAACAGCATTGACATCCAAGAATAGAAAACACTCAGCAATGCAATTTCTAGAAAGGATAACAATTATTTTTTTTTTAGGAGCTACAAGTATTTCCTTATATAAAAATGATAGAATTAGAGAGGATTGTGTTTAGAAAGTAGTTTCTTTCATCTTCATGTGGATAAAATCATCATGGATGGTATTAGTAGAAATTGAAAGTAATGCTGTACTATTTTATTTTGTAATCACTATATTATAAAGGAAACAACCTGTTTAAAGACTCAATATTATGCTTCCAGGATTTAGGATGAAAAGCAAGGCTTTCCTGCCTCATCCCAGTTTTGCTCCTTATGGGGCACCACTTGGCACCATTTCTATTTGTAGAATAGTAGTTCTGGTGGTTGACTCCATAACTTATGTTGCTATTATTTGGGGTAGAGGTCAGTTAGTTTTTGTCAATATCTTCCTTATCTTTAAAGTCATCACGTCTTGACTTATCAAGCTTAGGTGTTATCTCAGATTTCTTTTACAACAGACGTGAATTTGACTCAATTAAACCAGACCTCACTTACCTGGCCCTATTCCTCCCCAAATACTCACATTCAAATAGAGCAGGTCTTGCTCTTTTCAACGGCTTTCTCTGGAACATCCAATATACTTAAATCTCTCTTTACTGTTCTAGTAACCATGGAAAACTGCGACTTAGTGTCTCCATTGACGAGACAAGAAAGACAAGAAGTTTAGTGTCCTTTCCCCTCTCATGTCCCCTGCCTTTGCTATTGTAATTCCGACTTCTCCATCATAAAAAAACTCATTATTTCATAGATTTCTATAATTATGACTCATTTATAGATTGATTCTAAAAGTTAAAAACCAAAACCAGCAATCGTACAAATACAATTATATAAGATTGCTTACTGCAGCTCCAAGTACTAGACTTCGTTCTCTGTTCTTATAATATGACCTCTGTGATCTGTAAAGAGGAATCCCCCTTGATCACGATGAAAAAGACTCTTTTCTTTTATATTTGAAGGTTGCTTTGGTACATTTATGCTGTTTCACCATCACAATCAGGTCCTCCATTTCCTCCCCACATTTTGGACCTAAATGTGAAGAAAATCAGGCAGCTGCACTTACTTTGTATTGATCATGTAAATATTATGGAATTGCTGACCAAGTCATGTGCCAGATTTGGATTAACATTTCCATGGGTTCAATGTTATGACTTAATGGGCCACACAAATTACAATGTTCTTATTTTTTTAAGTTTTTGTTTTAATTTCAGTTAGTTACCATGCAGTTTTATATTAGTTTCAGGTGTACAATATAGAAATTCAGCCCTTCCATACATCGCCATGCCCTCATCACAAGTGCCCGCCTTCATCCCCATCACCTATTTCACCCATCCCTCCCTGCCCACCCCTCTGGTAACCATCAGTTTGTTCTCTATAGGTAAGAATCTATTTCTTGGTTTGTCTCTCTTTCTCTCTCTCTTTATAATAGTCTTATTTTTTAAAGTTTATGCTTCATCACTTCCTTAAATCATGCTATTTTTTTAGTTTGATACATTTTTTGATTGTGAATTTCTCATACAGATACTAGTCCGTGACTCC